TAAACTGGAAGTCTGTCCGTCCCTCCCAGGTGTCAGTCGCAACCACAATACTTGTATTCGGTACTGATTGGTAGCATTTTAGTCTAGATTTTACGCTGTCCTTATTGGGATCGACGAGTATGCACCCTATCCGCTGCAAGGTTGTGTATCAGATGTTCGATTGGTGGAGAGGTACCTGACTGAGCACCTTCATGTACCCCCCAATCGCATCCAACTGCTTCTTGGATCCAAGGAGCACACATCCCCAGTAGATCCGATGAACCCTTCGCGTGCGCACATCATCGGTGCGCTTCTTAACATCATCGACAACCCCGAGATCTTGTACGGCGACAACATCGTCATCTTCTACTCCGGTCACGGCTCAAGCTACGCATTCGAAAGGGAAGGTGACGGGGTCAAATTTATCGAAGCACTCTGCCCCATCGATCGCGACACCATTGGCGACGATGTCAAACCTGTTCCCGACATCAGCGACCGGGAATTCAACACCATCTTAACCCTAATCTCTCGGGCCAAGGGTCACTGCATCACTGTGATTCTTGATTGTTGTTACTCGGGTAGTGCCAGCCGAGGCGCGGAAGCGCGAAGGTCTTCTCCAACGATGCATACGTCGGTTCAGGGCATGCTCCGGGCTGGGGAAAAGATTTTGGAGGGTTGTTCTGACTATCGATCCATTGTATCGAATGAATGAATGGGTCCCAGATACGGATTCCCATGTCGTTCTGGCGGCCTGCAAGGCTCATCAGCTGGCAATGTCGAAAGCGGTAGAAGGGAAAGATGGGGCGGAGGAGTATATTGGAATTTTTACGGACTCGCTTGTGCAGGCACTCCGGTCCGGCTACTGCACGAGAGAGACGACGTACTCTGATCTCATTCGTTTCTTGGATCAGACGCCTCACCAGACGCCCGTCGTTGCTGGCAAACGCAAGGGTGCCCGTATCTGGTATCAGGAATGAATTTATGGGTCATTTACTTCATCATAGATTGTAATCTTTTTGGTCCTGCGTTTCAATGCTTTGCCTGTGCTTTCCAAGTTTGCTTTCTATATGTTTTTCTGTACTTGATGTAGACAGTATGAAGAGAATTACAATTATAGTTGTATCACCTTGGTATTTCTTCCTTCATTCCTTAAACGTGCCCCATGACAGCCCTCGGAAGAATCGGCGTATGTAGATGCTTAAGCGACTGCTAGATTACAACAAATTTAGGCAACTAGCGGTCGTTGACCGGCAATTTCTGGCACATCTTCTTTCGCGCTACGAACGACCTCTGGACTCCTTCGACCTCCTTCCATGGCAAAGTTGTTTTGTGCTTTGACTAGTAATATCAAATAAACCCTCCGACTTCAAAGATACGGCTGAGGTCGCAAGCGACACAGGCGCTGTATATTCTTCAAGATGGCAAATGGTGCGTCCTTGGCCATGTCTTTTCCTTTAGCTAAAATCTGATTAGCATTCGTAGGTTCAACAGAACGCATATATCTATACGAATACGATAACGCCTGGCTCAGAGTCGCATTATCGTGCACCCTGACCTGCCCGCTCGCTTGCTCTATCGGCCGTCGCTACCTCACCAATATCCACCCAAGCTTCTATGTCGACACGCGAAGGTGTTACCCGAAAATGTCGGACCGGCTTTCGACAATCACACACCTGGTGCAGGTTCTAAGGCGGCAGAGCTCCTTCCAAGATTCTGATCTGACGCGTCAGAACTCAGTGATTCCTCATACCCGACCGCAGCCGCACCTGTTCAGGTGATAGACGAAATACTAGATGCGAGTGGAACTGCTATAGCAGGACTTAGGCACTGATGCAAATGGCGAGAGTTCGGTACCCGGTGAGGCGTAAATGGCCTTCAAATTTGGGCGGTTGAAAGCTCTCATTAGTAAGCGACTCATTCGCATGGTTTTGCTCGTTTCTCATATCCGTGCTCAGGTCGCAATTTCTTCAACTGTTCCCCAATCACTGTGCACGCTTTCTATAGCAATGCATATTTTGTGTAGCCCTTCTGGTACATAGCTATACGATGATACTGAACGTAAGAGCTTTCACTAAAGGCGGCTCGAACTTTGAACTGACAGGTGGATATTGCAGGACGCGCCTCTAGATATACGCCGTTCAACGTGAATGTTCTCCAAGAGATAGCGTCCAAATCTGTTGACGCTCGGCACTACACAGAAGGTATGTTAACTGCTTTCCAAGTTCATCTTCGTGAGCCCTAAATGTTACACCCCAGTTGCTAGGCTCCTATAATAAAATCTTTTCCCTCGAATTCGATAATTCTTCCCATGCCATTTCTCGTATTCCTTCATCCGTCATCGGGAACGCACACTTATCACGTCCGGCGGAGTCGCCACTATGCATCTCGTTCGTGAGGCGCTCGACATCCACTAAACCCCAAATGTACTTGCCTGGGACTCATTTTTGTCGAATTCGGTTGCCTCGCCCTTTCTCACTCTGGAATGCCTCCCAAACCCAACCCTTCAGTCCACGTCAAGGGCGAACAAACAGGTTATGCCATGCCGACCTGCAGTATTTATTCACCCTTTGGAAGTTTTCCCGATAGCATCGGGAGCTTATACTTCAGGGAGGATGTCAGTCACGAGCTACAGAATCGACCATTATATTTGAGCGACGGGGAAAACCAACTTCCAAGTGCACTGAAATACCGAATTGGACCCATAGTTGACACGCGGTGGTACCGGGGGAGCGAAAGGATATACAAGCCGATCGTGCGACGCGGTCCCCGTGCGTGGACATCGAACTGGTTCCATCCGAATCCCTCGTTCGCCTTCGTATATCGCCACCTCGAGACATTGACACCAATTCATCCTTTGCTCGCTCCAGCCAGCACGACGTTCGCGAAGTTTATCGGCTCCTCGAGAAATGTACAGCCGCTGCTCCTCGTCTGGCTCCCATTATAATCTCCCCTTCTCGCCCACCTTGACATGAACACGTCAAGCGCTCATCGAGAGCCCAAGAAACCAGCGATCAAGACTGGCGGGGTGCTTGATTCTCGCTCCCATTTTCAATATCAGTAACACCAATGGTGTCCTCGGCCTTGACTCTGAAGGATGCGTATCGCCTCTTCAGGAAGACATCGGTCAGCGCCCCTAGACGAGCAGGAATACCTCCGGTAACACCACAAGCTGTTGCTATCCCGATTTCGGTTCTATCTCACCCAGCTAGCGAAGCTCGTTCCCATCCACATTGCTGCATGGCGACATTCTCATCGGGAAGTTACGAGCGGCCTACCTCTCGATGCTGGGCTGATGGACGTTTAAAGCTCTAGGACGCCCTCATCCGCATTTCTGATTCTCGTTCGCTGGATGAGTCCTGATAAGGACGCAGGGCACGGCTGAGAAGCCGGCGGACTATGTGGTCAGGGATGGGTATCGGATAGGTTTGACGATGGAGGTTGCGGCGAAACAGTGAGGGTCCGTCTCCCTTTCGAGACGGGTCCTGGTCGCTGCTTTTGAATTAGGCCGTTCTCCAGACTGACTAATAGCGACGGTAAATGAGGATTGCCTTGGAATGCATACACAACGGACTGTCCTCATATAGTTCGCTTTCTGTTTATTATGGTTTTAGGAAGCTGTTGTATTGAACTTGGTATGGAATATTGATACGTATCAGCCAAAGTGACAATGTCATTATGAAGATCGAATGGGTTATGCTCGAAGCAAGAAAAACTTAGAAGTGATGCTCATAACTTCATCTCCAGGAGTCGAACCTGTTGCCATTGCATACCTATGCTACTACTAAGCTACGAGATGTGATAGAAAAGACGGATCGTGAAGGATGTGGAGGCTGATTGATGGTAGATCTAGGAGCTCGGCATTCACAGTTACGCGTCTTGTTGAGCCAACGTGTATAGCTGAAGGTTCAGAAGTCCAGGTTTCAACATAGACAAAGACTGAAATCAAAAATCAAGACTACACAGACGGGGGACTGGAAGTGGACGTCGTGGACTTCGCAATCATCAATGCGTATATTTAGGATTATAGATATACACATTTTCTGAATCCTGACTGACCGAGATCCGAAGTTCGAACTAGGATTGCGCACGAAACCCTAAGTTTTAATACACCTGGGTTTATTCCCGGTAACTTACCTATCATGTGATGGCCAGATATGCCTAACAATTCACTACAACCGAATTTTTATTCTATCTCAGAGGTAAAGCTACAGATATAGTACTTCCAGATGAATTACAACTCTTTCAATAGAGATAATGTGTAAAAACCAAGTAAAAACGCGAATATGGAGGTAGGGCTGCGCACCGTCCGTAAACCGTATAGTCAAGAACGCTGACGGCTTCGGACCGTATAATTACCGCTATGACGGTCGTATATACGGCCGTATTCACGGCTACTGGGTATGTATCTATAATTGACTTGATTTTAGTGCGAAATGCAGTGATGATCAATGTAGCATACATTTTGACGTCTTCAGAGCACATTCTGTCCATGAAATTGACCGTTTTAGCCCAGTTAAAAAGATTTCAGGGGTTATTGACTGATGTCATAGTGCCTTGCATGCAGTATTTTGAGTTCTGAAGGTACTTAATGTGTCGGGGATCCATAGAAGATGATGCATGATGGTGAGTCGTTCTAGTACGTCTTCAAAAGCATTCAAGGACCTCAGAAACGCGTGCTCCCCCCTTGTAGCACTGCCACAGACATACGGCCGTCGACGGCCGTATTATACGGTGGGGCTAGAGGTGCTCACGGCGTCGGCACGTATACCGTACACGGAAGCCGTATTCCCGTACAATACGGTTACGGCGCGCAGCCCTATATGGAGGTGCTGAAAAAAGCATCTGCAATTGCTGCGTGTTAGTCATGTGATTTGGCACGTGGGAGGTAAGTAACGGTAACAACCCCCTTGGGAAGGAGTCAGTAAAAAATCGTAAGTTACCCGCTTTAGAGGTTTCGTGCGCAATCCTAGTTCGGACTTCGAAAGGCGAAAAGTTAAAACCGAATATGCAACGCAACCGGACGACACCAGCAGGATTTGAACCTGCGCACTCAGAGAGTAACAGATCAATTTTAATTTTTGCATTAATATTCTAATCTGTCGCCTTAACCACTTGGCTATAGTGCCATAGGATTATCTCTCCCTATGATGCTTCGAGTTCGCATCGAGCGTCGCCGTTTCTGAAGCTCCTGGCAGCGCTATTTTGTGGCTTGAGCGCAACACCGACCCAGAGTCACCAGTGTGGATTCGGGGCATGAACGTTTGAACCCTACTTGAGACTCAAATTCGCGCTTCCCGTTTCGGCTCGCTACGACTGCTCTGCAGCTGACCCAATCCAGTTTTCCAGTTTTCCCTGGCAGTGTATCAACATCATCCCGAGACCTCGGTACATGTAAACGTCGTCCGGTTCCTATTCTGACGACATACGTACGGGGCGTGCGCCTCTCCGAACGGTGAATGTGTCTAGTTGTCCTAGGTATGGTGTCAGTGTTCGAGGTGGGTCTTCATTAAAATATCAAATGAGATGTGTACTTATTCCCTAGCAGACAGACATTCAGCCGCCTTCTGTGCCTCCAGCATACACTGTATGGAACTTCTGGCTGCCTAAAGAAAAGGAGGAAAACCCCGAGCTCTTCCTTAGCATCTCGGCCGAGGATGACTCTTTCGTTTTCGGATTCCCCCGTACTGAGTCGAAATAGAATCGAAGCAAACGCTACAGACACATCGGCCTCGCTGTACGTTGAACGTCGAAGCTTTACCTTCACCATCAATATATATATTGCAAACCCATCCGAGTCAGATTGAGAAATCAAGTGTTTACCGTGCAAAATCTGTAATACCATATTTTCATTGCAAATCCCAACCCCAGGACTTGAACCTGGTGCGTCCATGTAGTACATACTTGGTCATGGGTTGACAGAATGAACGTTCAACTAGCGAGGGTAATCGCTGTTCTGTATTCCTTCTGATGCAGATTCTATTATGTATGGATGAGAAAGAGGGCGCTTGCTCGGTATCCGTTGAATACTTAGCATTGACTGGGGTTACGACAATTGAAGTCAAAAAAACATGTGATAGAGTGAATTGCTAACCAGGACTCGAACCTGGTGTATCCATCTACCATTCAAGTGGTTAGACTAAATGGTGCATATCATCTGTTCTGAGAATGTTGCAAACGGGGAAGAGGAAACTTAGAGAACATCATGTATGGGGCTTGAGGATCAGCCGCCGACCTCCCCTCGTTTGGACTTGGAGGAGCATAGTTACACAAAAACCATTTCAGTTACCCCTGTATCTAAACACCGGGAGTCGAACCCAGCGTACTGTGCATACCCACTCGCCTACAATGATCTATCGACTGGACTGGCTGTCCAACCAAACGATCCCTCCTCCCCGGTGTAAACCCCCGAATTCGAGGTTTCCTCTTACCCTGTGCTTCTTCTAAGCGATGATATGTCGGGACTGGCAACAAAATTTTTCAATACCGGTACGTTCTGACTTTGGCTCCAGGAGTCGAACGTGGTGCATGACAATGCGTACATGCTAGGCTACGGGATGTATGATATAACGAGAGAGGTGAATAGTAGGTAGCCGCCAGTTCACCAGTCACCAGTCATGCTTTATAGAGCCTGGGACCGGCATGTCAAAAGCGGCGGATACACAAGTCGGTTAGCTCGCGAGCGTCACTTTGCTGGTCCTCCGAAGCGAGTGAATGTCGACGGTGACAAATTGTCGCGAGGATTGGGTGTCCGTGCGGCAGCGTATGAGAGAGGGCGACGTTGATACAACACCGGATACGGTCTTGCCAGGTAGTATATTGAGTCGATAGGCAAAATCCACATCCTGGCATCGCGTCATTCCATGCGCGTCAACAAAGTGGAAATTAGATCTGAAGAAACAAAAGGTCCGATGAGCACTCCGTACGCGAACAATTAGCAGCAATGCACCAGGGTCCTGGGATAATCCATCCAAGAGCCGCACACGCAAACACCACCCTCCTCTCTGCCATCCACGGGGCCGTGAATAGTAGCCGTTATCGGAAGTTTAGCTCGGTCTCGTTAAGCAGTGCTGATCGTGGTCCAGTCTTCTTCACGACACCGCACGGTCTTCAAGCAGCGAGGGTGGAACGTCATAGTTCCTTGCCGTATATCCATGTCGCTCGTTCGAAAGATGCCATAGTCTAAAGATTAGCATAAATCAAGACGGTGGTACATGTCCAAGAACAATGCAGCACAGCCATTAGCTAAACACAACAACATCGGTCGAAAGACTCGCAGCGCTAGCAAAAAAAATCGATGAACTGTATAGGACGACACTAGCAGGATTCGAACCTGAACATCTAGTTTTGGCCGCAGTGTCTGAGATGAGGAACGGGCATAGATTTTGTTATGAAGAAGGATATATATCCAAATACGACATAATGCGAAAGAAGTGGGAATGGGCAGAGTATTAAGGATATCCAAAACGGGAGGATCTCACATGTTCAGTCTGATTCGGCGACACCATAAGCGTGGAATTCGGAGAGGGTCCCACCCGCCACCAATCGTAAACTGTAAGAACGATGGCACGAACTCCTCTATCATGTGGTCCTTTAGCAGGTATTGTGCAGAACGTATAGGGAAACAGCTTGTCGATATGTCTGAGCAGCGAATACGAGGAAAGCGGCAACATGTGAGAAAAGACGAGAACCACGACGAGTCTGGGGTCTGCGGGAAGAATAATATCGCAAGTTGGAGGTTACATGCATATATGCGGGGGACCCCCGAATGAAAGGCCTGCATCCTTCCCTTGGCGTCAAGGTAGAATATGTAGAGAGAACACTCTGCACGCTTCATTAGGAAGAGCACATCCAAAAACGTATTGCATTATTACCATGACTTCACCTCCAGGAGTCGAACCTGGTGCGTTACAAAGACCGTGACCCCTGGGCTACAGTGTGGACAAGTAAGCGTAAACATCGTTCTTGATGACGGGCATCCTGGGAGACACAAAATGGCACATATTGACCTGCAGACAATCTCTCCGCTTCTTGTCCCACTGGTTCGACAAGAGCCGGAGGAGGAAGACAGAGCAATCACATACGGAAGATAACGCGTAAGTCGTGAAGAGGTGAGGTGGATCTATACACAGATCCGGAGGTTGGATATGTTGTGTTTATCTTCGAGAAGAGGCCGGAGAGGACTGTTCCTTCCACACTGTATCTCCGCACGCCTCGAAGTGACCGTCGGGGAATCGTGCGGGTCGGTACAGGAATCGGGAACGAGCCTGCAACGATCCACGTCCATTTGTATGCAACCACACTAGGCAACGGAAGATATCAAAACAAGAAGCAAGGACGTGGACCGGCTCTTGGCAGCGAAAATGTGGGCTATGAGCGGGCCAAGAGCGCAGACCGAGAATGGACAATACGGTCGAAAGGATATGCATATATATGTTATTATGGAAGACAGCTTTGTCTCTTTCCTAAACGCCTGGCAGACGTTTATGAGCATGCCAAAGTATTCTAGCAAAGCGGGATTCTCGTACCAAAGATTTCATGCCATGTCCCGCTCAGCATATCATCGATATCCTTCCACTTGGGCCAGCAGAGGTTTTCTCATCCCCAGTGACTGAGGTCCCTCACCAAGCTGGGCCGTCCACGATTACACACACAGGCGTGAGTAGTAGCCGTTATCAGAACTTTGGCTCGGTCTAGCGGTCGTGGTCCAGTCTTCGGCGCCGAATATCATTGGTCCTAGGCCAGAGAGGGTACAGCGTCACGACTCCTTCAAAGCACGGCGGGTGAGAAAGAAAAGGTCGTGGCTGTCGGTGGCAAGAAAGATATGGCACAGCCACTACTTTGTGCGAGAAATTTACGTTCAAAAAGATCGGTGCAATTAGCTAGTACTGTGACGACACTAGTAGGATTCGAACCTGGGCCTGGCCACTTAGCTGTAGTGTCCCTTCAAGATAGGGAACGGGCATGCTAATGGGAGTACGAAGAGGAATATGTATCCACAGAAGCCGGGTCCTTCCATGATAGAGGAAGAGTGAGTCGACAAAATTTGAATGACTTGGGAGAAGAGTTCGTTAGTCCTACGCCGACTTTACATAATTCCATACGTCTAGTAAGAGGCTGCAAAAGGGCAGAAACCGCGTCTCTTCTCCCAGTGCCCACCTTCGTCATGCAAAGCATGGTGTGGTGGTCACCCCCAAAAAAGGACCATGTGTCTTCTTGATATTTCACCTCCAGGGATCGAACCTGGTACATGCGTCCAAACACATTAGGCTACGTATATGTAATTCACTGGCACTAACTTGTGAACAAGAAACGGCTCAAAACAAGGCACGGCGCAGAAAAGATTGCTTCGTGCCATCGTTCATCAAGGACCACTACACGAATCGAACGTGTGCACCGACTCTTGTCTCGTTAGACTGTAAAGTGGATGGAATGTTCACGTCTGGGACGAAGTATATCAAGGCAGCGGGAGAAGGAGGACCACGAGTGTGCGGGAGGAATAACAATAAGCGAAGGACAGGAACGGTATAGATGCGGAGCTCTGAACATGATACGGATGGGGATTCAAAGACAGACTCTAGACGTGTTTTGTCCTGCCAGCGTGAATTCGACGAATAAGAACCAAGGTGGAGCGTAGATATTTTACTCAGAGCACGACAAAAAGAGGGATTACATGTTTGGCGCTATTCACACCTCCAGGAGTCGAACCTGGGTCCGATATTAAACAGATCCGCTAGGCTAGGTGCATGCGTCGGGAACAGGGTGGATGTCATCGTAGTATGTGCGCCGTCCCACCAGAGCGGAAGACGAAGAAAACATAGAGCGCAGAAATTTTAACCGAGCTTATAATTCTCTCGTATCCCACCCCCAGGAGTCGAACCCGGTACATCATGCAGATCCACTAGGCTACATGCGCGTATATATGGAGTGGCGTGGATGGCGTCAACACGAGTGTGCCATTCTCGGTGATGTCGATGAGCATCCGTGCATGTACGGCAAGACGTTAGTCCAGAGAGATGCGATTATCATTCATTCTCGACCCGCTGCCCTGTCCAATGCAGCTAGACTCTCCTTGCCGTAATTCGTAGTCTTCAGAGCCAAGGACAGCGACCAACCACAAGCAGGGGAA